AAAGGCAGAGGATGGGGTTGTGAATTGTATAAATATAAAAATAAATAAAGACAAGAGAAAGGGGTTATAGGAGGGGGCGTGGAGCTGCTGCCTCTGTCTCATTTTTCTGGGGGGGCCCCCAGTATACTTAGTCTCGGGTGTATGTACGAAGGCCGAGGCGGCGGTAAGAGTGCCAGCTAGGGCCCCCTATGCTGTGAAGCCCCCCAGTGTTCTGCATGCTTTAAATACAAAAGAGTTTTGAAGCAAAAAACAGAGAGAAACAGCAGCAAGAGGAGGAAACACAGACAAAGACACACACAACAATACTCAGGGACTCGCGGGGGCCTCGCGGGGGCCTCGGGGGGGCCTCGCGGGGGCCGCGGTAACAGCCGGCAGAAACACGCAGGCTTGAGTGGAAATAATATTAAAAATAAGTAAAGGGACGAAATATAATTATATTATTTAAAATAACAATTGTTTGTTAGTGACAAAAGAAAAAAAACTGCGAGCCCATGCCCCTCGCTGCCCTCGTACTGGCGCCGCCGCAGCCGTCTCAAGGTGCCTATACACCTCAGCCCTTCTCTGCATCTTCCGCGTGAATAAGGGGATACAAATGCAGTTATTTACCTTTTATTGCTTTAAATAAATCACAGTATCTCGCTAATATCCAGTTACAAAACAGCGTAGGCCAGAACCCCACATACGCCCCAGGCTCTGCCTCAGCACAACTGCGCGTGCTGCAACAGCAGCAGCAGCAGCAGCAGCTCTTGCTGCTACGCCTGCAAGCAGCCTCGGCCGTTCGAGGCGACCACGACCGAGGGCCCCAAAGGGGCATCGGCCTTGGTCGCCGAGGGGCCCGCCGAGCGGGCCCCCAGAAGGGGGCCCCCAAACGAGGCCCCTCAAACAGGGCCCCCCAAGGGGCCCCCAGCTGGGCATTGCTTCTTTTTCTCTGTGTTGGGTTTTGTTTGTGTATATCCGCCAGTTGCTGTGCTCAGCAGTGGGATTTCAGCCCGCCGGAGATGGACTGTGAGCACACTCGAAGCCCCCAGCTCTCGCAGATATCCGGAGCTAGCTACAGCCAGTGGCTAGCTAGCTAGCTAGCTAGCCACAGCGTTCGCAGCTAGCCACAACTAGCCACAGCTAGCTATAGATAGTTGAAGTCCTGATGTGTTACAAATGCGCTGTATTTACACAGCTCTGTTCATCTGTGTTCGCCAAAACAAAAGAAACAAAAGACGGCAGAGGCCTGCAACTTGCAGCTGCTGCTCTTCTGCAGCATATCAGCACGACGGCCCCGTCACCGCCAGGCCATGAGTCTTGGTGCCAGTTCGGCCAAGCCCCAAGCCGCTCACGCAGCTAGACACAGCTAGCTACAGCTAGCTACAGCTAGCCATGCATGTGCAGCTAGCAGTAGTTAGCTGCACGTGGCTGCTCTTAGCAGTATGCGTGCAACTATATACAGCTAGCAGTATGTGTGTAGCTAGCTGTAGCTAGCTGCAGCTAGCTACCGGTTGCAAGGTTTTTTTATATAGCTTGTTGGGGTTTCTTGAGTAGCTACAGCTACAGCGTCTGCATCTCTGCTTCCTGGTGCCTAGCAGCACTCAGCACGGCCTGCAGCTGTTCTATGCCGCCCCGGAGGCGGACGCAGAGGTCATCTCGCTGGTGCTGCCACTCGCGTTGCTGCCGCTGCAGCCGTGCTGCTGCTAGCCGGCCTTCTTCCTGCGCGCGCTGGCACTCCGCCTGAGCCTTCTGAGGGTCCCCACAACAACAGCAGCAGCAGCAGCAGCAGCAGCAGCAGCGAATACAGGCCGCTCTGGAGACTGCCACAGCAACAAGCTTCTAGACTTTAGGGTTTAGAGTGTAGGGATTAGGGTTTAGGGTTTAGGGTTTAGGGTTTAGGGTTTGGTAAGGCACTCTCAGCTCATCCTTCAGCTGTGCGTGGGCCTCCCTGAGGGCCCTTAGATTTGCTTCATGTTTCACAGCTTCCGCCTGTGCAGACTGTAGCTGCTGCTGCTGCTGCTGCTGTTGCTGCTCCTGTTGCTGTAGCTGCTGTTGTACTTGCTGCAGCTGCTCGTCTGCCTTGGCCGCTGCTGCTGCTGCTGCTGACTTCAGGGTCTCCTGTGCCTTTAGGTGATTCTCCTGCTGCTCCTTCATCTGCTGCTGCATCTGCTCCAGCGCCTTCTGCACAGCCGTAGCAGCAGCAGCAACAGCAGCAGCAGCAGCAGCAGTAGGAAAGGCCACACAGCCTCCTTGTCTTAACAGCACGCTTCTCAGATAGCCCAGTTTAGGGTTTAGGGTTTAGGGTTTAGGGTTTAGGGTTTAGAGGCGAAGAGGAGCCACCTGACGACAGTTTAGGATATCGCGTTGTCTCTGCTGCTCTGCTTCTGCTGCTGCAGCCCTTGCTGCGAGGTGGCGCATCTTTGTTTGCAGTTCTTCTGCTGCTGCTCTTGCTGCTGCTGCTTCTTGCTGCAGCTCGGTAACTCGTTGCTCCAGCTGCTGCTGCTGCTGCTGCTGCAGCTCTTCGGTCTCCTTTCTCTCTTGCAGCTTTTGCTTCAGCTCTTCCACCCTTATCGCATTCGCATGCACCACAAACCCTAAACCCTAAACCCTAAACCCTAAACCCTAGACTCGATCGCAAACCACAAACCCTAATCAGTGATAGTTTACTTTTGTTCAGCCTTCGTCAGGTTGGCTGTAATGCTTTGCTTCTCTTCTAGTGCCTCTTTCTCTCCCTGGAGGCGACGCTGTGCCTCTTGCTGCAGCTCTTGCTGCA